AAGCACATGGAGCTGTGCACGTCTTAGGAATGCACTCTGATCCTGGAAACCTGGGGAGCTGCATTTCAGTTTCCAGTTCACAGATACTCCCTACCAGCCCCCTCCTGGTTGCGCCCGCTCTGGCCTACGCAGGTACACCAAAACACAGTCCAGGTTTGTATTGGACAGTCAGAAGAAACTGGACTCTGAAGCAGATATTTTTCTGCAGGCTTGCTATCATGATATAATACCTTTATGTAAAAGTATCTGTAAACAACAAACATCTATATTTATATTCATATTCTAAGCAGGAATTTCCTGTTTCCCCAAGTGGTCTAAAACATTTTCTTGTTATATTATTATATGCAAGCAAGATGAGCAAGTGCTCTGAGAAAGGGTCAGATGATGAAGGACAGCAGCACCGGCCACCCCAAAATGTGCCACTTTGGTATTTGGATTAGTACAGGCTAAGGAAAGTCAACAAGCAGAAACAAGAAAACTCTGGTCTTTCTTGCCAGGTAGGGCAGGCGCTTCTTAATCATGACAGACAATTTTCCTTATCAACCTGGGCAAGGCACCAGAGGAACTGATAGAAGAAATTTCCCTAAATCTCCCCACTGATTCCCCATATATTTATCTTCTCATACTTTGCTATCTCTAAAAGTTCCAAGCCCTTTTTGTTTATCTTATCACTTCACTAAAAAGTTATCGTTTTGTTGAAATGCTACCTAAGCCTAAATTCTAGCCCACCTCCCTGAAGACTCATCTCTGGCTACTCCCCTGGTATTCATAAACTTCTCTTTCTATTCCTCTTGTTAACCCATCTGCTGTTGGTCTACTTCACAGAGCCAAAATGGGTAGAAGGAAAGCTTTCTTTCCCTCCCCTATTATAGTAATTGGCCACAGGAAGGCACTGTTAGGGCCCGGAGTGATGAGAAGAGACCTGAAGCATAAAACAGAGAAAAAACTTCACCCGGCCGAACCCCAAAGGTTCATCAAATCTTCAACACCTTCCTACTGGTGTGGTGGCACTGGGGACAAGACATTCCGATAGAATTTATGTCTGAATTACTGCCTTTGGTTACTTGTACGGTAAGCAAGTTGTACTGTGATCTGATATTCTTTACTGGGACACTAACACAATCTACAATGAACTCTGGTTGCTATTCTTTAATCCCTAAGCCAGTGCATTGTTTAAAACCAGTGTGATCGTAACAACTACCACCGGGTGCTGTCATCCTAGGGCTCACTCACACCGGCTCCTTGAATGTGTGCACTGCTAGCAGTTTTCCTTTGGGTTCCAGCAGATTTTGTTTGCCCTGAGCAGATGTTCTTCTCCACACACGTCTTCGGCTCCAGAGGAAACGGGACCTCATGCAAGAGGCCCGATGATGCCACCTCTTGTAGCAACATTACGCAATGAAAACACTACTTAAAATTTTAACCTATAATATTCAAATAACGGAACTTAGAAAAAAAAGATACAGATGAATGTCCATTTTGTATCTGTATATTCAAAGTGGTTAGGATAGATATATAGTTACATTCTCTTAATGAATAGAATGATTTGTTCTAATGGTGTTTGTAAATAGGATCTCAAGTCCGCATCTTGTACAGCAATTAACCACTAAGAAGAATATATGCAGTGTGTTAGTTATTGAAACTGTACTACCGATTTGATTTGAAACTGTCTCATTGCTATCTGTTTATCAATAAAATTTTGAAAAAAAAATAAAATAAAGTTTCCACCAGCTTCTAGCAGCATGAAATTGAGGGCCAAGCCTTTAGCACATAGGCCTTAGAGGGACATTTCAGATCAAAGCTGTGGAATCTCCCCTTTGCTCAAAGCCCAAAGAATAAGTCATCCCTGTCTTATATAAGGTGTTTCAGAGACTAGAAAGGAGGAAACATTTGCCAATAAATAAAACTGTTATGACTTAAAAAAATTTTTTTTAAACTCTTTCCTCAATAATAAACACTGGCTGAGTAGATGTCAACCGTAGCCACTGACTTCTTGAATCTCCCAAATGTTGTGCATTACCTATCCATAACTTAAGAAGTTTAAGGCTTTTCCTCTTGTACCAAATTGTAACTGCTTATTGGAACATGTGTCAGCCTACTTCACAAAATCACTATTTCTAACTTTCAAGTATGTGTTTGTAGATCTAACTTAACCCAGCGGCAAGTTAGTGATGAGCCTGGCATCTAACTCTATAAATTTCCTTAAGCTTCTATCTTGAGGAAAAGTAACTATCTCTTTTCCTTCTTCTCTAACATTAGATGAGTATTTAAACCTTCTGAATTTTCCGAGTCCATATTTCATGAAAAAATATCAAGTGTTTATCACTTCCCTAGAAGCAGATGCTGGGTGATTCACAGGGCTTTTCTTTCTAGGCAGGTGATTCATTCCTGCAAAGTAGTCTCACAATATTTACCTAAGGAAGATTCAAGGTGGCATATATCACAGAAAGTTTAGCTAACTCCTGACCAAATAAAGTATATGCAATGAATCCATGTGAGCTCCTGCTATCGTTAACTCAGAAATGTCTCTAGGACTTTATACGTCTTGTTTCAATCTACAAAGGAGACATTAGCTCTACGCTGCCTTCCCTACTAATTCTGAGTCTTTACTCAAATGCTTTCTTCTCTGGATTTTAGTCTCTTCCTTAGTTTGTATTATCCTTTCTTCTTATGACCCACTCTCAAACTAGTCTTAAGTTAATAATTTGTCCCCTGAAGATTGCAATATAAATTCACTTGTGTAAGTATTTGTTACATCATGTTATGCTGCGTATTATCTAACTATGCCTCTGTGTGTGTGTGTGTGTGTGTGTGTGTGAATGAGGTAACAATGTGTGCACCCAAGAGGGAAGGGAGGGCATCACATACCCACCCACTGACACCCACACACATCTCCCCTGCAAGACAGCCCCCTGAGAATATCCAAAGCATGTCACATTTATCTTTCTAATCTAGTGCTTTTAGTGCCTGGTACTATAAATAAATGTTGCTGAAAAAAAAAAAAAACTTGAATTTTCTCAAGGCTAGTAGGCAGAATCCTTTTTGTTTTTCATGATTTACTTCTCTGGAGAGGAAAGCAGTCATTAACTAAATAAAATGCTATGAATTATGGCATTACTTCAGCAGTCCTGCAAGAAAAAGTGAAGAAAAGAAAATCTATTATTTACTCAGTGTTTCACAGTTAGCTTTTGAGAATGAAGAAGCAGAAAGTGGATTTCCTATTCTGTTCTCTATCCCATGGCTCATGTTGCTTACTTGAGCATCTTGTATTCTCTAATGTAATGAAGGTTCTTTAGCACAGTATGCTTTGGACTGAGAAGGAAGAGAAATTCTATGCAGTTAAAAGGGGACCTGGTTTTTCCCTTTCCTTCCAGGTAATGACTGTTGGCATTATTATTCCTGTGGCTTCCCAGGTTTGATTGGGGACAGTGTGCGTTAGCTATTGTGAGAGACCATGAAGGATGCCCAGCATTGTGTGTAAGCAAATGGTCGCCTCCTCTGTGCTCCAGTTCCCTCTCTGTGAAAAAGAACAGCATAATATTTAGCAACATCACCAAGCTATTGTGAGGGCTAATTAGATTTAATGGGGGAAGGGAGTGGAGCTGATTAGGTACTATTCAAATTCAAAGTGTCATTATTTTGTTTCTAAAAATAATCTCGACTTAGAAATAAAAATAAATAATTCGGAAGCTCAATCTTTAGCAATCATGTTCCGGTGCCTCAGAAAGTTTCTAATCAAAATCCCATTCTAAATACAATAAGTGGAGATCAGTAAATTTCCACTGATCTTTGCAATAATATACTACAGGTTTTAATTATGCTTTTTCTTCCTTTATTGATAATGTGCTGAAAGGTTAATTTTGTGGAATGCAGTAAGGTAAATAAACTGAACCATTATTAATTTTTTTTTATTTATAAAAGACTTTATATTGCCTCTTTAAGGACTAAGTAATCGATATTTTCTGGCGAAAATCACTTCTCGGGTTGTTTCAGTAGGTTCCATTTATAATTTTATTCAAGGATGAACCAATTAAAGATCGCAATATTCCCCCAAATTAAAAAAAAAAAATCCCTAGATATTTAAGGTTAATGCCAGGGTAGGAGGAACCGGCAGCAATCCCCAATAATGCACTAATTAACTGAAAATCTTCATGTGCATATGAATCGGTACCTGAGAAGCATCTTGGTTGTTGAGCAAATCTCACTAAAAGCAGGGAAACATTCTTTGAAAGGTTACAGTTGAAAACCCTGGGAAACAAGATTCTATCTGTTAGGAGAAAATGTTCCATTCATAGTTTTTAGTAAGAATTTTGGCTGAAAAGAAACTATGACAAAAGGTGAAACAAAAGCACCCACACACCTCCCTAGGGATGACATCAGGGATTGATAGTCTAAGTAGGTTATCAATCGCCTTGAAAGAGCCAGTAAGAGTCCCTAACCCAAACCCCTAAAGCAAAAGCCCCAGCTCCATATTCATGCCTGCTTGCTAGGTTACTCGCTTCCCCATTTGATCCCCATTTAAACACTGTTATCTAAGCAATTATGCTCATAGTCTCATTGGTTGACCATAGTTTTGTCCCACCTCATGCTCACCTAGTGAGTTTCCTCTTTTTCCACTTTGACCCACTCACCTCCTGGTTTTGCTCCACAAAAATCTCTAGAAAAGACAGAGTCTTTGGCAAAGCACTCAGATTCTCTTCTGTTCCTTTCTTGGACAGCTTTCTTTCCCTTAGTAAATACGTTTTGTTCTTAACCTTTGGTTCCTAAAATTCATTCTTTGATTTTAGAGAACAGGGACTCATCCCAGATATCTTTCAGGTTGGGAGTTTCTTTTCCCTGTATCACTTTCAAACCATTCAGAGGAAAGAGACACTACATAGTTCAATCAGAAATCTATTTTCTACAGAACAAAAGGAATAATTCTCTTTAACACAGCCTTATTAAAATTCACCTAGTCTAGACTTAATACAAATACTCATAATTTAAGACTGCATACTCACCAAGCAAACTTCTGGTTATTCATTCGATTTCCCCGGACCCTTGACACTGGGGATGGATGCACCCTGTAAGTGAGAGTAATACAACCACTGAAAAAGCGTATTTCGGATTGTAAAGAAAAAAAGAAAACAACACCATCTGTTTTAGGAATAACTGCTTTAAGGTTTCTTATAAAACCCCCTAAAAATGACTCCCTGAAAATGACTGCCTCTTAATAAATGGATAGACATTCTTGTGCCTACAAATCTGCGGTCTTTCCCCTTCTTTACTTCTCTCCAGATAACAAGTGTGTGTTGGCACCTGCCCACAGATGCTCCCAAGGGCAGGCCCACCAGTTTCAAAGACCTGACGCATTCATTCCGCTGCTCAGTGACGGGATACCTAAGCTTTGCCAGGTACAGGGTGGGAAAAGTCATGTAAGGTATGGGGCCCTCCCGCGTGAGCCCTCTTTGTACCTGCTCCTGACTGGGGTACACAAAGAGACAGTAAAGAACCAAACCTTAAGTTGACTCTTGAATTCAAAAGCCTTGAGAGCAAAACTTTCCCCAGGTGTGCAGCAACAGAATCTCCCGGATGGGAGAAGGAAGGGTGAGCCCGCACCTCTAGGAGAAAGGCTTTCTGGAAGTGGAGCTCCGCCTCTGCGCTCTGAGGAGGGCAAAGCCAACTCAAAACAGACCTAGGTCAATGTAAGGCTCTGCAAGTTTCCAGGGCAGGTGCCAGCCAGGGCTGCAGCCGAAAGCTTCCATGATCTGCCAACGGCCTCTAGTCAGCGGCAAGCTGCGGGACCTCCTGTCTTCCTGAGTCACCAACTGGCAAAACAGGACGCCAGCTGCCTACTGCAGCTTCCTGGGAGCCAATGTCCTGCTCTGGTCTGTCTTCCTCAGTCTTTGTGAGACCTACACAGTTTTGAGCTTGGGGCATCTTCAAAATTTGTGCTTCAAAAACTACTTTTACTCACGAGAAAGAGAAAAATGCGAATTTTAAACTGGTCTCCAGGTTCAGCTCAACCCAAAAGCTCCAAGGTTCTTTATAACCCCAGTCCCTCCTCAGCGTTAGCAAGGAACAATGGGGTCAGAACACACACCACAGCTCTAATCCCTTCCCTGACCCAAGTGCTCCCCACTCCCAAGGCCGATTCTCCCCAACGTCCCTATTAACATTCTTTTCCTCGCAGGCCTCCCAGTCAGTGGCTGCGGCAGTTCAGCTGCTCAGCACAGATTTTCCGCTCGGCATGGGGGAGGGGTGTTAATTATGCAGAAAGATGGAGGGAGGCCAGACCGCCCCTCGGGTGAACTGCCTCATTCAGGCGGCCCACTTCCTGCTGTTTTGCAGCTACGAGGATCACCTGTTGGTCTTGGCATCTGGCCAGACGGGGCCTAGCGGAAATGACAGACTCAGCTAGAAATGAAAGCCAGCTCAGATTCTAGGACCTTAAATTAGAGGGAGAAAGGAAAGAAAAGGGAGGAGGAAAGAAATGGAGATGAGAGATGAGAGACGGGGATAAGGACAGAAGTAAAAGACACATGCATCCAAAACACTCTACGACTTAGACAAAATGTAGTAAAACTGTTTCCTTTTGCTTTGTTACTTATGTCTGCTTGAAATGGAATCCTCAAAATGGACAATTTCTCCCCATCTAAAGCACCCTGACCGCAGGGAAAAGCAGGGAGTCCCGGAGCTGTGCTTACACCCCCTCTGAGACAGAAGAAGCCCGTTAACAGTGTCAAGAGTAACCAGCCTCAAACGTGTCACCTAAGCGCAATGGGGAGTGGCTCCGACCTTGCATTTCCTCCGTATCCTGTAACTCTACCCCTTTGCTGCATCCTAACCCTAAAATCACAAAAGAACCATTTCATGTCACCATCGGAATCCTGCCAGCTCCACAAGGTGGTGGACACTTCCTTTTATTGAGGCTGCTTATTGCGCATTTCATGGGAGAAAAACAGGCCCATTTAATCCATCATTACAGTATTCTCTGGGCATATGTGCCCTTTAGAAAATTTTCACTGGTTACAAGTCTGATGGCATCAGTGGATAATTTTCTGAAATGGCCTAACGGTATTAGGAAAAAATTCTTTAGGAATATCTCCAAAAAAGAATTTCTGATTATGTGTATGGCCAATATACTTGTAAGATTTCTTAAGATGATAAATCAAGAAAGATGTCTCAGTACATTGATTACCTGGAACTTATTTCACCCAAAAAACAAAACAGAAGCAAAAACAGCATTCTCTTCAGCTATTCCTTATGTTTCATTTCTTCAAAAGAACAGAATTTTTGTGCGCTGAGTCTTTAAATGGGGCACCTCTCTGATATCCTAGGCCTTTTCACCACAAACAGCAGCCAGGCAGGTAGCAAAGTCAAAACCCCAGTAGGGGAAAGCAACGCCTCATCTGCATGTCATGCATTATTCATGACCTCCTGATTTCTGCACCTGCATCTAGGCAGGAAGCTCACAGGGTAGGTTCATTCTTCTTCTCTTAGCCTCATGCAGGGTTCATTACTGGCAAGCACTTTTTTCTATAACTAAGGGTTTAGGCCCCTGGTACTAACTGCTGGATATGGAAAAAAAGAAGAAAAAAAAAAAAAAGAAAAGAAAAGAAAATACCAAGCTGAAGAAAAGGGCAACCTTGGTTGTTGTGTAACTTATTGAATCCTATAATGTGCTCTACAGAGACTAATAGCTTGTGTCAGATGGAAATGGTCACACTGGTGATTTACTGCACACAGATGATATTAAGACCTTGTATACCAATTGTTCTATTTATATTTTCATTCGCATCAGGGCAGAGAGTGATTCAGGCTTAATTGAGCATATAAGCACTTTTAAAATGTCTTAAATATAACATGACTCTTCCTTGTTCAGGTATAAACACCACAACCCTGCCTCTCGAATCTTGCACCTATAGGACTCACAGGAGTGGTGAAGAGAGTGTGACGTGCTTCTCAGTGTTTCCATGAACCTGCTTGAGTGGTTGACGGCTAGAAGTGAGATGCGAAATCTGTCTTCTCAAACTAGGGAGCAAATGAATTGCTGAGAAAGACCAGTCCCACCTCCTTAGCATCTGCATCACTAGTGCAAATACACTGCCCTAAGTGGAACTGGGCTAAGGAGCCACAGTGTGGCCTGTCCTGGACGGAATTCTGGCTCCACCAGTTACCAACAGTGGTGGCTCCCAGCGGGTCATCTAACCTCTAGGTGTCTCAGTTTCATTATGTCAATAATGCTTTGCTTTTGGGTTGATGGTCCCAAAAGATTAAAATAGAGCTGAAAACTGCCATCATGTAGTGCTATCATAGTCATCACAATGCATACCATGATGTACTGACCACATGTGTGGATGCCAATATAAGACCTACTGTGCTTTCGGTGGTACAAAAGTATTGCACATACAATTCTGCACAGCACGTGCTTGATAATGACAATAAATGTCTCTTACTGCTTTACATATTTACTATTATATACTTCATTATATTTTAGAACGTACTCCTAGTTATTAGAAAAGTTTTGCAAAACAGTATGTAGTGCTCCACTGGCAACAGCCCCAGAAATTTTATGATTACCATGTCTGCTGATTACACCAAGGGACCAGGTCAGGGACCTACCTGTCCCAGTTGGGGATGTAGACACACACCTGTATGTTTCTACCATGATAACATCACCAAACAAAGCAGTTCTTAGAATGCAGTGCTGTTACGTGATGCAGGACCACAATGGTGCCCACCTGGACTGTGAGATTTAAGTGATGTTATCGCTGTAATTGTTTAGAAAAGTGCTTCATACCCAGGAAATAGTCAAAACATGTTGTCGACTGGCTGGAAAGGCAGAAAGATGGCAGTAGAATATGCAGCCAATTCCAGGCAATGGAGTCATAGATATGCTCTACAGAGCCTGCAGATTTCATTATGATATTTTAGGAGTACAACTTTACTAAAGAAAAGGAAGCAAGAAAAACGAACAAATACAAAACAAGGCAAACCAAAAGCTATGATTTACAAGGTACGTTTTACCCTCTGGCATCTCATTTTTCTATTTTTTATTACATGACTTTTGTTTACTAAATTGCAGCATATTCAACAAATTGCATATCTTCTCTTTACAACATTGTACTACATGCCCCATTCAAAAGCAAGATAACAGTCCCAGAAATACAAATACACTGTCACTTACTGAGCCTTTACTAGGTGACTTGTATCATTTCATTGTAATTTATCCATGTATCATTACTGTCTGCAGCAATTGAGAAAGTGGGGCTTGAACAAGTTAGGGAGCTCAGGGGAGGGGGGTGGCACAGCTCCTGGACACCGGGCTAGAACCTGAACTTGGCTAGGCCCAAGGTGTTCTCCTCTAGCCTGTCATCCAACGCTCACATTTTCCTTTGTTTATGGAAGTCTTTTGTTATGTAAGTCCCCAATTTTGGAAAGAGCTCCCTTTCTGGGAGAATTGTTTGTAAATTGGATTAATGTGGAAATCTAACCCTAAGGGACAACATGATGCTTATGTAGAACACTTATGAAAGTTTGCAGCATGAACATTTGTGAGTGAGGACTTCCTACATTACTATCACTAAATACGTAATTGTATAACTCATGTGAATTGTAACAAGTAGAAATTATTTCTAGCTATCTCTACACTTCCTCATTTCTTATTTTCTCTAGGACCTAATCCAAATCCAGTTCATGTCCACACACTGTTGAAACTGTGCTCACTATGTTCATTAATAACTGCCTGGCTTTCAACTCTGGTGGCTAATTCTGCCTTCCCCGTCACACACTGACCTAACTTAACTCCTCCTGCTTTCTTGACCCGGTATCAGTGACCATCCATTGGCCCCCCCTCCTCTTGCTTAAACTTGCTCCCCTCATTCTTTCAACTCCAAATGTTTGTTTGGCTTACAGGTCACTTTCCTGGGACATTTCCTCTCCTCTAAAGTCACCCATTACCTGAAAGTGTCTCCAACATAGCTGCCCTCACAACCTTAGCACCCAGATAATGACTTCCAAATTTTCATCTGCAGTACTGTATTCTCACTGAGTACTAGTGAAAGAACGATTCAAAGAATGA